ATGTGAGGTCGGAAAATGTAGCTGACGATGAGATCTTGTGGGGGATTGAGTGAGAGGTACAAGCAGTATAAATCAGGAAGCCAGTCACAATTGTTCAAGCTGGCCTATAGGAAGCCCTGAGTGTCCGTCAGTCAGAGCTGACTCTAGATCTGGCTAGCTGATTGTAGTCTGTCTTTCTGCCTGCTTGGAACATCACTACCGGATTCTGTCTAATAGTAGGGCACTAATAGTAGGCTTTGCCTAAATTATTCGAAATCTCGAGAACTGTTTATCAGAACCTATCGATGTGAGGTCGGAAAATGTAGCTGATGATGAGATCTAGTGGGGGATTAGAGTGTTGAGCTTCTGCGAAAACTTAGAAACCATAAAATAGTCATCAACTCGGCTCGGCGGGGTGCACTACTATTAGAGAGAACACGGTATTAGATGGAATGTGCATGGTAATAACTATTAGAACATTTGCAAGTATTCCTGGTAGTTATTCCTGGTTCAAAAAGCTAGTTCAAGTCCAAAAGCGAAAGCTTATTGAAGCTTATTGAATTGAAAGCCGTAAAATAAAAAAAAAACCTCATCAAAAGGCTTATTACTACGGATAAATGCTGAAATTTTGTCTCACAATCATAAAACACGCGTAGAGAAGTGTTGATTTGAATGTCGTCCTCTTCACCTTTTCCTTTCCTTTCCTTTCCTTTCTTTTGCTCAATGTGTGATTCATCGCTTTCTCTTGGTTGTAAATGAATGTGTTTCACTCGAATGGATGTCTTTTCTCTTGGCTATACACCTCCTTATAGAACACTTATGATTTCACAATGGTGGTCAAATTTGCATTGAGGTGTTCATTATAAAAAGATAAAGCAAATGTCCAGAAAATCTTTCTTTTTATACTTTCGTTTGAAAAATAACAAACAAATCTATGGTTTTTTCTAAATAAAAAGTGTTTATTATTCAATTTCCCATTTTTTAAAGTCAATTTCGGTTCGCTTTCAGCGCAAATTCGAGAGTAAAAACCGTGTTTTTCGTAAAAATCTTTAAGAACTTCTAGGCAGAAATTGGTTGAATGAATTCCTCTGAAAATTTGACTATATATCTAACATTTTGTGCTCTATCTTTTATCTATTGACATCAAGATAGGTTTCCTTAACTAAAGTGTCCAAATCGCATTATTGAGCTGCCCTTTTTGACTACCCGACTTCACGCTCTCAAAAGAAAATCCAGAAATAAGACATTTGAAACCCGTTTTAATGTGATTTTGTAGTAAAATAATTGGTCTTTCTAATAAAACAAACAAAATTTAATTGTTGCAATTGTTGCTTTTAAACAGAAGTACGAAACGAAACGAAAAGACTTTCCTGGACAGCCTAATACAGTCATGGACAAAAGTCCTATAACGTTGGTTTTTAGAAATTTGTTCTTTGTATACCTTGATCCAAGATCCGACCAATTTGCAAACGGTTAAAAGATTTAAAAGAGCTTATTATCTCTAATTTTAACATTACAAAAAGATGGATTTAACAATTTATCAGATGCCATGAACTTTAATAAATAAATAAACTAACATTTTGTGCTCGATCTTTTCTTGCCGTATAAACTAAACTTAACCAATTCCTTTTAACTAAAGCGCAAATCTAAATAATCTACCACGGCGCGATTTTCTTGTTACTTCGTCTTGGGTTTCGTGTAATTACAATTGACAGGTTACGCAGATTGATACTCCAAATCTCTAACCGGTAGTAAAAGCTGAAGATCTCAAATCCATGATATTCTGTCATGTTGGTGAATAAGTTTTTTGTTCCTTTTCGTACTTCCGATGAAAAATAACAGATTCACCAATTAACCTATGGTTTGCTCTAAATAAAAAGTGTTTATTGTTCAATTTCCATCTTTTTAAGTCAATTTTGGTTCACTTTCAAGTCCAAATTCGAGAGTGAATACGTGTTATTCTGAAAAATCTATAAAGACCTCTACGAAAAAATTGGTTGATTCAATTTCTCAACCATCTCCGAACCATCTCCGCGTTGAAGGCCGATTTGTGGGTTCAAAAATATTCGAACTTGGACTAGCTAGTTGTTCAGCGAGAGAGAGTTGAATGAAACGAGGACCGCAAACATTGAGCTAAGGGCCGATTTGTGAGTCCAAGTTGGTGCCGATTTGCCGAAAAGACAGAAATCAATAAAAAGTACGATTTTTTAACTGGAATCTTCCGAATCGAAGGCTTTTTGTGTGATAATTTTTCAATAATTCGTTTGACTGAGAGTTCTTTGATAGAAATAATGGTTTAAATTCGAAAACTAGAATAATTACAACAATTAAAAAGGAAAATTGGATCCAAATATCAGAGTCTAAACACGAAAATTCCTTTATTCAGAGAAATCCGAACAAAGGAAATGCTTTTGAATGGACGGATGGAAGTTCGGTGGATTTCGCGAATTGGTATCGAGGACATCCGACTTCCGATACCCACGCTGTGGTGAGATTTTCAACGTGTAATCGCTACTGATTCCAATTTTTCTTTTTTAAATACCGCAGAATGTTTTTTCAGAGGATTTCCATCAGAAATGAACACATTTCAGCTTTGGAGCGGCACTGCGAAATGGAGTTCATTGAATCTTGTACTTGTCGGTTCTTTCTTCCGCAAAATTGAAGAAGGAAAACCCTGATTTGATTGCGCAGATTGACTCAATTCCATAAATTTGAAACTCGACTTTGTTATTTGTTGGATAATCGATTGGAGAAGTCAAAAATGAAGCAAGAAATTTATTTGCCGAACAAAAAAGCGATCCTTTATCTCGAAAAATGAAGAGAAAGGGCTATTTTTGATGGCAAAGGAATATTATGAATATTATGAAGTGATCAATTCCGGAATATTCAAGAGAAAATGGGATTTATTGGTTTTTCTCGATGGAAAGCGACATAAAGATTTTTCAGAATTGAGAGCTTTTTTTGCAGATAAAATAATGGCGATTAGGATCCTAGATCCTCCATTTCGCAGTGCCGCTCCAAAGCTGAAATGTGTTCATTTCTGATGGAAATCCTCTGAACAAACATTCTGCGGTATTTAAAAAAGAAATTTCTCGAGACCGATCGAACTATTGGGTTGGTGGAAAAGTCCTTTCGGATTTGTTGGAAGAGTACCTTAAATTGGTCCAATTTTGACGTTTTATAGCTCATCCTAAAGCTGAATTCAAGACGGATCGATTGGTAAAAAACCGTTTTGAGATATCTCTTTTCTAAAAGTTTTTACAGCTATTTTAGTAAAGGACGGCAGAGCCAAAAAATGGCTGTTTTCACGTTTCGTTAGTTTTCCGTGCAGAAACCTAGGCTAAAAACATGTGTTTCGTGATCAGCGTCAAAAATAACCCCTAGACACAAATTTTCAAAATCTTAGTAAAAAATTTGAAAAATTTGAAAAATATTGTCACCGGTGGAAGTCGAACCAGCGACCCTCAGATCAATAGCATTTCCGCCGCTTTTCTCGATTTTCCTTCGTTTTTCTCGTTTTTTTTTTGTTTTATCATTTTTTTGATGTTGTTTTTAGGGTACATGTTTTTAGCCTAGGCTTCTGCACGGAAAACTAACGAAACGTGAAAACAGCCATTTTTTGGCTTTGCCGCCCTTTACTAAAATAGCTGTAAAAACTTTTAGAAAAGAGATATCTCAAAACGGTTTTTACCAATCGATCCGTCTTCAATTCAGCTTTAGGATGAGCGAGAAAACGTCAAAATTCGACAAATTTAAGGTACTTTCCCAAATAATCCGAAAGGACTTTTCCACCAACCCAATAGAAAGCATTCGATCAAAAGCCAGGGCCTACGCCCTAAAATTACCTAGAAAAACAACTTTTGGAATAGAAATTGGTTAATATTAGCTTTTTAGAGCTTTTTTAGAGCTTTTAGAGCTTAAAACGCAAAAAAAGGTGCGCTAATGGGCAAGGTGCGGAAAAAAATGTGCGCAAATGTCCGGGTGCGCAAAAAAAGGTCGCATTTGTCCCACTCCCATTTTGCGGCAACTTTTTCTTTGAAATTTTTGAAAAAAGAAATTTTTCGAGACCGATCGAACTATTTTTGTCTTGATTATGCATTGGAAATTGGAATCAACATCGATGATTTAACGTTGAAAATCTCACCGCAACGCTGTTGAGTGATTTCGGGTCTCCTTCTGCCCAATTCGTGAAATCCACCGAACTTCCATCCGTCCATTCAAAAGCATTTCTTTAGTTCGGATTTTTCTGAAGGGATTTTTAGGTCTAGACATCGATATTTTGACCAGATTTTCCTTTTCATTATTGAAATTTTTACTTTGTATGGGTTTCTGTATCTTAATGAGAAATTAGTTTTCTAGTTTAATTATTATTTCTTCAATGAACTATCAGTCAAACTGATTATTTCTCCAGAAAGAGCCTTCCACTTCGAAAATCGTTGAAACAATTATTACTTTCTATTTATTTATGTCTTTTAAGGAGAACCTTGAGTCCGATCCAGAACCAACCACTCGAAGAAACTGATTTCGCTAAAATGATTATTGGTTTTGTTGAATAGTTTAGATTTTCAACCTAGTCTCTGAACAAAATGGTTCTCTTCCTGACTGTGAATTGAGACCAAATGGCCCTTTTGGCTCGCACAGTATGCCACGGCATCATCAAATTTCATGACTTGATCGATAGCCTTGAGATAAAGATAATCCAGGTTCACAACATCCATCAAACCTTGTACCAAGAGGCGTTTTTTGCCGAATACGTCCATTCATCCAGCTCCAAGGAAGTCATGGTTCGAGTTCTGAATTACTTTCAATAACTTTACTCCAAAAAAACCCACAAATTTGCCCGCAACTTCGCGATTTCGATCGTTTTTTTGTCTCTTTCAAATTGTCTAGAGAGGAATTGACTTTATTCATTGGAAGGAGTGTTTTGGGAGTGAAAAAACTGTTTTCAAGTTTTTCAAAACTGTTTTCAAGTCTCAGTTGACGAGAGATGTCAAATGAACTAATAGTTCGGCCCTTAATTCAGTGATTTTCGTTTGGCTGAAAACAGATATGCTGGTTGACAAGGGGTCATAACAAAGGATAACCAAAGACAAGGATAACCAAAGGGGGAAGAAAATTCACAAATCGGCTCTTATTTCAATGTTTTCGGATTTCAATTTTGTCTCGACCTCGGCATTCTTCATTTTGTTCAACTCTCTGAACAACTCTAGCAAGTCAAGTTCCAATATTGTTGAACCTATTAGGTTGGTAAAAAAGAAATGAGCGTCGTGTTTGTTGATTTGTATTTTATTCACAGTAAAAGATTTTTTTAAATAGTTTATTCTATTGGAAAGAGCGTGTTCTTGCGCATCGTGGATATTCGTGTTCTTGCGGATCGTGGAGATTCGCATCGTGGACATCGCGGCACGCATCGCAATCGCGTGTACTGCTTCTAAGCAGACCTAGCGCAACTACTTTAATATTACCCCATCCCCCTCGTACAGTCGCGTAGTCGCAAAACTTTTTTTGTAATCCATTTTGTAGCCCGTACTTTCCAAGAGCCCGTACTTTCCAAGAGCCCGTACTTTCCAAAAGCCCGTACTTTCCAAAAGCCCGTACTTTCCAAGAGTCCGTACTCTCCAAAAGCCCGTACTTTCCAAAAGCCCGTACTTTCCAAAAGCCCGTACTTTCCAAAAGCCCGTACTTTCCAAAAGCCCGTACTTTCCAAAAACGCGTCTTTGGTATCAAAAAAATAACGCGTTTTTGCCAAAGAACCTCACAAAAACGATTGTTTCCCAAATTTCAGTTATTTATCTAATTCTTTCTCGATTTGTCGGAAACAAAAAGCTTTTGTTTTTTAGCTTTTACTTTCACTAACCTCACTTTTTCCAATGCTTGATCCTTCTCCGGACAACTCAGTCGATTTTTCCTAAATTTGTTTGTGAACCTTGCAAACCGACACGGTTTTAAGCGAAAATTCAAGCTAAACCAAAGAAATGTTTAAAACTTTGTTTAAAACTCACTTTTGTATCCAACATTGTTTTATCTTTAGAATAGATTCCAACTTACTAATCAAAACTCACAAAGTGTCTTGACAAGTTGCGAGACGTTTGGCTGTTTGGGATTGTTCTTGTTCGGTTGAGTTTATACTAAAATTTAGAGTACTGAGTACTGAGCCATGAGCACTCTTCATGGCTTCCTTTTTAAAACGTATTGACTTTCAAAAGATACGGTAATTTTACCTTTATTCTTTATCCAATTTACAGTGGTCCACAAAAGTAATGCCCCATTGCCATCCAACAGTATGTTTTGTAAGGAAATCTTCGTCCGTTTCCTTCCTATTTGCGTTGCTATTTTGCAATTATTCGCGTCGCATTTTTCGTCCTTTTTCTCCCTTCCCGAAATTATTTTTTTGGCCTGCGGGTTTTTTTTGCCTTCTTTCTGGGGGGGACTTTGTTGTTTCATTTTTGATCATTGAGATTCGTGTTGACGTGAACACTAAATTGTGTCTGATTGGCTCAATACTCGCGGAAATCTGCGGTTGGAAGAAATTACCGGGACTATAAAGTTTTAGTTTGAAAAATCAATATTATGTGAGCATCAATCACCACCAAACAAGCAGTAGCATTCGGCCTCATCTTTTTGAGGCATCAAAGCTGAAGCTTGCATTTGAAAAACGCTTGTTTCAAACTGAATTCCAAAGAGCCTGGTCGCGTCCGTTTCCTTCCTATTTGCGTTGCTATTTTGCAATTATTCGCGTCGCATTTTTCGTCCTTTTTCTCCCTTCCCGAAATTATTTTTTTTGATTCTGCGGGGTTTTTTTGCCTTCTTTCTGGGGGGACTTTGTTGTTTCATTTTCGATGCGCATACTGTTTTTTTAATGGGTATTGTTGCATTTCGGTTCTGTACTAATAAACAGTAACGTTATAAATTCACTTTACTTTATGCTACCCTTCAGGTTTTAAATCCTGATAACTGGTTAATTTTAGATGACTGGTTTAACATTGTAGAGAGGTTTTACTAACATTTGTGTCACCATCGACGTAGTATCAATCCGATCCGTACTCTTCTCAAGAGTATTAATTTATTGTTGGATACTACGTGTTCTTGTTACGTTGTAAGCGCTTTTGGGGGAAAGCCTTTTAACCTTTTGTGCTATTCACCGTTGAAAAATGCGGAAAGTGTTGGATCGAATTGTCTCTCGACGTATTGGAACCGTATTGGAACCGTATTGGAACCGTATTGAAACCGTATTGGAACCGTATTGGAACTGTATTGGAACTGTATTGGAACTGTATTGGAACCGTAAAAGCAACCGTATTGAAATCGTATTGCAACCGTATTGCAACCGTAAAAGGAATCGCATTGGAACCGTATTGGAACCGTATTGGAACCGTATTGGAACCTTCGAACTTTGTTGTTTCATTTTCGATGCGCATGCTGTTTTTTTAATGGGTATTGTTGCATTTCGGTTCTGTACTAATAAACAGTAACGTTATAAATTCACTTTACTTTATGCTACCCTTCAGGTTTTAAATCCTGATAACTGGTTAATTTTAGATGACTGGTTTAACATTGTAGAGAGGTTTTACTAACATTTGTGTCACCATCGACGTAGTATCAATCCGATCCGTACTCTTCTCAAGAGTATTAATCTATTGTTGGATACTACGTGTTCTTGTTACGTTCTAAGCGCTTTTGGGGGAAACCCTTTTAACCTTTTGTGCTATTCGGCCATTCTTAAGCAGAATCATCCTCGTTGATAAGGTTAAAGCGGGTCGCACCCCAAACTATTAGGTGTGTGAAAAAGTAATCCACGTTTTTTATTTTTATTTTGTTCAAATAAATATATCTAAACAATTTTCAATTTTTTGTTAACGATATATATGTCGTAATCGCTTACGAAATTCAGCCGCTAACGAATGAGGGTATTATCCGGGCATCCAATCAAAA